TTTACCCTACAATAATTTTCTCCTATAAATACCCCTTGAATCTCCAAAAAATTTCGCACACAAAAAGGTTAGTCTTATTTTCATCCTCCTTTGTTTCATTATTTTGCTTAATGTTAATTTAATTGTTTTGGGTTTTTATTTTAGTATAAAGATTATATTTTTAGTATCAAATTATATTTTAATGGTATAAAGATTATAAATTTCAGATTATATTTATGTTATAAATTTCATATTTTATGAATTATAAACCTAGGGTTTCAATTTATTGAAAATCATGATTTTAGGGTTTTTATGAACAATTGATTTAGGGCTTTTATAGTAATGATGTCTTGATTTTGGTAATTATAACTACTGATTAGTTTAACTTAATTCCAGATTATTTTGAACACGTAGATTCGTGTTTTAATTTTTAGATTTTCGTTCGTTAATATTAATCCCGTTTTAATCCCAATCAGATTCTGAACTCATCCGAGTTTGATGAAAAAGTAGTGTTTTCCATGTGGAAACAATGTTTTAAGAAAGCCACACTACCTTTGGTAGTGATCACTATCCTCTCGTGACCAAATTCAGCCTCTAAATATGATTTTTGGGCAGTTTTTTATTTTAACAAAGTTTTTTTATAATTAAAATATTATCCTTGAGTTTGATTGATAAAATTAATTATGTTTAAAGTTAATTAAGCATAAGTATATGTTTTTTTTATTGAAGTTTTAGGTGCTAGAAATAGTTGCTAAGTACTACTTTTGATGTTTTATAAAGAGGGTTTAATCACCCATCAAAAAGGGAGATTATTAGGGGTTTTTAAATAATTTAAAGATTTTTATTAAACTTTAAACTTGCTGTAATTTCATGTATAAGAGTGTATTTTAAGGTTTTTATGAAAAAAATTTAAAGAACTATATATAAGCCTTTAATTTTAACTAAAGGGAGGGTTTTAAAGTGTTGTTTGATTTGGATTTTGAAGGTTTTAAAGTAAGTTAGTATTGCTGTAAATTTGATTGATTGGGTATTGATTGAGATGTTATTATTTGGCTTAGGAGAGGAGTTTATTGAAGGTGATTTCTAGTTAGTAAAGTGGCATACCAATTCGTTTGCTCAAGGTACGTACAAGTTACAAAACCTTTCTTTTAGGTGCATGTTTAAGGACGACGGATCGAGAACTTAGTATCATGTATAGGGATGACTGGGTTAAATTGTTTGGTTATACATTGTGAATTTCAAATGATGTGCACTATTTTATAATGCAAGTATTATTTGTGCTCTAATTATGCAAGGTGCGTTTAGAGGCAAAGGTATGTGATTGGTAAAAAGATTAATTTATTACTCATTTATGATTATGCAAACAGGATGAGTAAATGAAGGATTTAAGTCTTATAAGACGAGGTTAAGGTTTTGGGGTGCCTTATGCACTCAAGGTGTTTATACACCGAGGTAGTAAAGGATTAAATAATAAGTGTTGTTTGTCACTAATAAATCAAGAATTGAAATTGGAAACTTGTCTTGTTTGATTAAATTGTGTTTAGAATGTTTGTATTGTTATGTATATGAGTAATCACCAAGTCTAAACCTGTAAATCACGTAAAGTGCAAGATGGATGAGCAATAAAACTCTGGATTGGTGCACTTCTTGAGTAATGACAATTAGGGGTTGGGGTACATGCGTTATTAGCCATGTACTTTTCTCGAGGCCGTCTGATCTACGAGTCTCTTATTTCAAATATTTTTCAAAACTAGGAGTTAGGTGAGATCTCATACTAATTACGGTCACGGAGTCGCGCCCGTGGTCGTTGGATGTTTATTGATGTTTCCGAAAGGAGGCATGGAGTTTTTCTTTTATTGATGTTCCAAATGGAGCATGGGTTGGACAACCTTGTCTATTGCGTAATCCAATGAATAAAAATAATGATTTACCTATTATTAATTAATGGAGTCTTAGTAATATAAATAGTTGAGTCGTGTGTTGAGTCTATAATTTAATGATGCATGATGATTGATTATTAGTAGCATGTTATGGATTTCTTAATTTATTTTGCAGCTTGTATGTACTCAGCTTTGCTGATTGCGTGCTTTGTGTGTCTTTCTTTGGTCATGGCCTTCGCCTTTCAATGGCCCTGTGACGATCCAATTTTTACACTTGTAATATTGGGGAGCAGATTAACTACAGCTTCTTACATACGCAGCATTCGCATCAGGGTTGTGGGATTTTGAGTGGAGAGTTAGTTATTGTTCGCAGTTTGTTTTCTTTTGCAAGTTTGAATTTATTTAAACTCGGTTTTATTTTTATACTATTTCTTCTAGTTTGGATTTTGAATAAGGACCTTAATGGTTCCAGCTTGTATCATTTAATTTGGTTTTGGTTATTGGTTTTGAAACTTATTTATAACTGAGTTAGTTTTTCTGCTGCTATTTTTTGATAAAGTCTTAACGTTTGAACACGTGGCGGTAGCACGCCAGTAATTCTCTTGGATTTTCTTCAGGGTATTTACAGGTTTTAAGAGAGAATTATTGGGGTGTTACATTGCATCGTTCTTGACGGAGCTCCATTGATGTATTGTAATACCCTATATTTTTCTATTATAAGTTTCGGGACGAAACTTGTTTTAAGGGAGTAGATTATAATACTCGTATATTTTTATGATTTTACAAATTACAAAATTAGAGTTGTCTACTTGAAATTTTATTTTCTTATCTTATTTGATAGTTTTTATATCCTTTAACCCTACACTATTATTTTATTAAAAAAAAAAGAAAGAAAGCAGTCCTTCACTGGTTATATATATCTTCTATTTTTATCAATTAGCGAATTTAATCTTATCTTTGTGCGTAAATCAACTTTGTCAGTTGAGTGCTTACCCTTTTTGATGATTTATTTACCCTTGTTCCCTAATCCTCATAATCAATATATGGTACGGCCGTTCTACTTGACAATATATGATGGTCAACCTCTTCTTCTTATAATCAATATATGGTACGGCCGTTCTACTTGACAATTCACCAACTTGATTTATTCAATTCGAAAGTAATCACTAATCACACCATCAATCCTTAGATCATTTGTTTATAATTTGATTGTATTATTTATTTTATGTAATCACACGACCGTAATTATTATTTTTTTTTATTTGTTTGATTATAAATTGTTAGTATTAATTGTACTCCGTATTATTATGTGTAAATTTTATAATTTGTGAATTATATATGATCATGATTTATATATAATATATACACATGATTAGTGTGTGGTATAATATGATTCTAATTGCCGTATTATTTTGTGATATTGATTGATTGTGTTATTTTTTCTAGGGTTTTAATGTTATTGTTATATGGAGTATTGTTTTGAGGTTTTAGGGTTGTTAATGCAGAGTATAATTTTTGGGTTGTGAGTTAATTATTTTTGGGTACTAGTTTTATTTCCCTAAGAGTTGAGATGTTTTTGAATTGAATTGTTATATTATTTGGAAACTTGTGCCATTGTGGAGTTATTATTATTAATTTGCGAATGGTTATTTGATCAAAAGGTTGAGAATGATAATTTTGTTCTTGGTTTTGAGGCTCGGCGTTATGTAACTTAGTCCTTGGCTTGTTGGTAAGAGGGTAATAATCATGAGTTAAGAGTGAGGTACAATCATTATTTATATTTATTTTTCTATGGTCCCCTACAGTGGGAATTGGCCCGTATGTGGTCTGTTTCAAGGTGTTTCTGGTTATTAGGAGTATTCAAGTTTTTATACTTGTTGGTTTTATTCGAATTACCCATGTCCAAGGCTAGATATAAAACAAAGAGCATGGCACACTTATGGGTTATATGAGTTAATTGAGTAAAAGTTCGTATTATTATTCGAGGTTGAGTTGTTAAAGGTTAATTTTTTTTTCCAGAGTACAATGTGTAATATAGTTCTAAACTACATTGTTTAAGTGAGCTAATAATATTAATTATTATATTATTCTTTGTATTCTGATATGTGGTGATTACTCAACTTTTGCTGACGTATGTGTTGTTTTGTTTTGCTACTTGTGTTTGCGGCCATGTCTTTTTCTTATGGTGGCCCTACGACGATCTATTTTGGAATTTGTCCTTAATGGTGAGCAGTCAAGTTTGTCTAAACAGGTTGATCAAGTGGTCGTAGCTAAAGGAGCTCAAGTGTTTCGATTAGTTTGTTATAACAAGTTTAATTTATAAAGTTGTATAAATAGCTCACTTAGATTATCGGGTTGTAATTATTGAGATTGTGTAAGCCTTAACACTTGACAGGTTGTCGAGTGTGGCGGTGATACCTCCGATAGATTTAGGTATATGCTTCCGCAATTTTATTCAGAGGTTGTTTATTTTTCCTTTAATTCTTATTTATTTTCAGTTAGTAAATCGGGGGTGTTACATGTATAATCACGAAAGTGATAAAACTTGATTGGTTATCAAGATCGACAAATTTAGATCGTTTAAATCAGCACCCGTATACCAACAGACCCACAATTCAACTAATTTGCAAGACGAATCTTCCAAATTTGTATCCTTGTACACACGAAAAACAAACAAACAACTCATACTACAAATCCCACCATCAGAGAACCAACTAAACCCTACATGGAGGGATCGACTACAATCACCATATAGTTGGTGATCTTTATTGGCTAAAAACATTAAATTAATGAAGAATTTGAGACTTACCATCAATAAAATCGACAACCCCTAAGTTTTACTATGATGGCTTAAATATGTTGTTAAATGTGTAGTAATTTAAAGTTTCATAATATCAAATCAACTCTTAAATTAATTTAAGATGGTGCTTTGAGTACCATTTCAATTAATGACCTTAAAATTTCCTTGCAATCTATCTTTACTTTTTTTTTTTTTCTTTCTCAAAAAAGAAATTCTTAAATATTTTAACTCCTTAATCAATTATTCTATAGCACAATTAATTTCAACACCTTGCCATTTTTAGCTCCATCCTAAATTCCTAATTAGTTATTCCAAGCATAGCCTTAGTTGGGGATAAGAAGTAAAACAAATAAAGTTATCTGATTCACTAGGAATGTATATCATGATTTTGCCAAAATTGGTGCGGCAGTTGCACACGAATATTGGAAAACACGAGAAAATTAGATCACTATTTTACAAGTCTATTTTTGTGTAACAAGAGTCTATGATCACGAGTAATTTAACTAAAACCATACTCTCTTCACTCTAGTGAGACAATTTACACATAGTAGCTCTGATCAGTCTTTTGACGTACGAAGAGGGGAAGCTAACTCAAATAATTACATTAGAAACACTTCCTCCTATCATCTACAATAATTATTCCACTTCTTCAATCCCTCGACTAAGAGAGTTCATTCCCACAGATCGAAGCAGTATTGTTTTATAGATGCTAGTCATTAGGCAGAGCGAGCTAATAGGAAATCCTCCTACTAAGATTAGGAGACGAATTAAGTAGCTCCTGACCAAGGTCGCCTATTTTGTTAAGTAGAAGCATTCTTTCCGTTTCAAGCTGGAGCATATATTGTTCCTGCGAGTCCTCTAAGCTTTGAAGTTCACTTAAAGTACTTAAAATTTCTTCAGCATCCTTGTCCTCAACTGAAGACTCAAGCTTCATCAACATATCCTTCATCTATGTAAAGTCATGCAAAAGCGACAATCAGGTGGCTAAATTGTAATGATAAACACGTATCTGAACCACACTTTGAATAGCCTTAGTTCTAGTAAAAAAGGCAATATATATATTTGTATATAGCTAAAAATCTGCTGCACGATTTTATCAGTTTTCATAATCAGCATAATGAGCCAATCAACTGAATCAAGTATGGATCGCCATGAAAAAACTTTCAGAACCATAAGAACATTAATTCACAAGCTATATATCGATTTCAGTAAGACACACTTCAGGATGTTCCAAACAGCCAACTATACCTTAAGTCCTTAACGTGCTAAAACAAAGAGTATTTTTTTATGAAACCGAGTGAGCAGATCAAAAAAACTAAAGGATCTTGTGATTTGTAAATGCATTCAATTCTTTTGCAAGACCTTTCCATAAAGTGCATGCCAATCGACAAGAGGAACAGCAAGGCAAAATATGGGTCTCGTGTGACATTCTATAAACGATGACATTTTACACCAAAAGATCAGAAACAGCCAACAATAGACAGAGATTACTAGAGCTGATGATTGTGCTTCTAATAGTTCATTTTAAGAGTTATCCTTCATAATTCAAGAGTGAAGGGTAGGGAGGTAACAAAAATTGTGCTTCTAATAAATGCAATCTTGCAGTCATGATAAAAAATCGATGGACTAATGGTAAGGAACCTGCACAAAGTGTAGTGTACCGGATCTCAATTATAGCATAATTTTTGTTTCATTCTTTTTAATATATATTTCTCCCTATTTACCACAAATGTTACAGGTTTTTACAGAATTTTTTTTTTTTTTCAACTTTCCTTTTTCTTATATTATGTATAAATTCTTTTATTCATTTTTTTTTGTGGGAAATTAACAATGAAGACATCTTTTAATGTGTCTATGCATCCCTACTCTCATACGTCCTTTAATTTATTATTCTTTTCTTTAAACCTCATTTTATTGAGAAGAAAACCTTTTCTCTAATTCTTTACTCCTAGTTATGCTAATAAATAGATTGGTTATTATTGTTAAGATTTACATACACTAATACCATAGAGGAACCAATGATGTCTAGTGGCAAAGGTTGAGGTCTTGTATGAGATAGGTCATAGATCGAATCCCCTTTTCCCATTGTATTTGTGAATTTTCATGCTTTTGTTGGTCATATAGATCTCCACACCACCAAAAAAAAAAAAAAAAAAAAAAAAAATCAAAAAAATCAATTTACCACTGAAAGGCCACAAGTGAATTTGGGTATTCTGTGTAGGCAATTAATCGGTGATGCACAAAGCAAGCATGAGCCATAAGCATTAATTGACAGCAATAAAATTCTTACCTGATCAGATATTGCATGAGCTCTGTTTGACAATGAATCAGAGTCTACACTGGTTATCTTCTGAAGATCTGGCACTTTTCTTGTTATTTGAACATGTATTTCGCCCTTTTTAACTCCTTGCAGAGGTATCCATTTCTCAGATACTTCATTAGGGGGAAGTCTTTGGTATTGTACTATGCAGTTGCCTATGCTTGATGAGGACAATATAGCATTGTGATCCTTCACTTGTAATTCTAACGTACTTCCATCATCAGGAAACTCAAATGTTTGGTTCCATGAAGGATTCACAGTCTTGTACACAACCTTCATAGTAAAAAGAAAGTAAGAAAAAATAAAAATAAAATAAAATACAATTCATATCTGGGGGAATGAGAAAAGTGGTTATTTGCAAAACTAAGCACAAGGCATTCTAAACTTGACCAAAATGTAGTTCTTGTAGCTACGATTCCAGCACCACCAACTAATCAGGATCTCCCAGCCGTGGGAAATTTGGTGGCCAGAAAATGTCAAGTAGTTTTGGCCACTGTCAAGCAATGCCAATAAATCGTATCACTACCACCATGTTAAGTAGTTTCCTAAGAAATTACAGTGACTCATTGATACGTTTAAGTTAAGATTACTATTTCAGGTAATATAAAATCACATTTAAGCAGAATACCTTTGTTCTCCTCGTCTCATTTCCATACTGGACCTTCACATATGGATCACTTGTTCCCCGGAGATCAGCAGCAACAAGATCCCTGGCCTCAATGAGAACAAGCTCAATCAATCCATTCTCAGGACCGCCATTGGATACCTAAGCCAAAAAACTCAGTAACTACAGATATGAAAGTGTACACTGAGAAAACTAATCACTATGAACCAATTAGAGTTCATAGTTATGTCAGTAGTTTAGACAACAAAATTGGTTTATAATCTTTCATGTCACTAAAATACCATTCAATTAAAATAAAGTTGGAAAATGCATTTCCACAGAAGAAACATCAACCACTCCTTGACATTTTCTGTCATAGAATGCATAATTTTGCACACGGCACCACAATTAAATGTCCAACCACCAAATGAAAGAATGTTCTATAAATTTTCAGGACACGATTTAAATAATCTAATGGCTGTCTCCTTGCATCAATTCCATATTTACGCTGAAGAATACGATATTTCTCTTCACACAAATGCAAAAATTTCATTAATTTCATTAACAAAGCTTCAAATTTGGCTCCATACTTTGATGAGTGTCATTCATTGTTAGTATTTTAGGTTGTTTTTACCTTATTTTCATAGCTTTCTTTCCTGATAAATGTTTGGCTTTGTCTATTTGGTCCTTAGTTTCTCTATTTCTTGCTTGTTTCGTGTTTTTTTTTTCTTCCATTTATGTAGTTTTTCTTGTGTTTTCCCTTTTATTTGCTCTTCTTTCTTGATTTGTAGGAGTAAATGAAGCTCGAGACCGGTCACGATAATTTTCTTTGACTCCATTCCAGTAAATGTTTTTTTAATAACTTTACCTCTCTTTACTCCACCTACAACATCTTATTTCTTTATAAATCTCGCTTACAAGACTAATTTTTCTTAATTGATGATGGTAGAAAGAGAAAAGGAAAAAGTCAAAATACAATTATCATAACTTTTTTTTTTTGAGGAAACAATTATCATAACTTATCATAAGAAGAATGCATTTGACTTTTATTTGATTCTCATTTATTATATTTTAAATACTTAAATTGAATGTTCAGTTCAGTTTATAATTTGATATTATAATACAATATTAGTTTGCTGTCAGCAATTCAGCATCCTCAACAAATTAGAATTCCTCCATCGAAGTTTATTCCAGTTATCAGTTGAAGTTATAATGTTGTAATTTTACTTTAATACGGTGCAAGGTGGAAGCTTATGTATAGCTCATAAGGCAAGGGATGGAAAGCTCCAAGATTTGGTGTTTGTGCTCTCTTAAAAATCATGGTGTTGAAACCACTGTAAACTTCATTCAAAACTGACATGCCTAGTGACAATCATGAGGAATCCACCATGCATAGCGTGGGCGCGCAGCAAAGGACTGCCACACCAAGGCAACCATTGCCGCGCCATGACAGCTACCGCCGCGCCTTGGCAGGTCTAAATTGTGCAGGAAGTTAAAACTTAAGCAGGAAGTTTGTGCGACCTTTGCACGTGCATGAGCATGCAGGCTTTCTTTGCAGGCGCGCCATCTGAGGTCTCTGTTTCTGTACCCAGTTTATCGCGAGCACGCCTAATGGGTCAATTTCAGGATATTTGCCTTATTTCCTTTGTATTATAAATAGCTTTTCTCCTTATTTCTTCACTATGCAATCTGAGAGTTTCTCTCTCTAGATTTAGGCTTAGTTTTAGGAGTAGTTTTAGATAGAGAAAGTGAGAGATCTCAATAGTGATTTGAGAGATTGAAGAAGGGATACAATTGTATTGAAAATTTTCTCAATTATCAATGAGCATTTCTTGCTCTATCTTATCTTATTGCTTTCTCTAATTTCATGTTTGTTTGATTTAGTTTTGATGATTGATTCTTGATTAGATTAGTTGTTGTTGATGTTTGGTTGATTCTTGATTTCATTTACTTGCTTTGATTTGATGATGGGTTGTAGTGAGTAGCTGTTTGCTAGGGTTTGGGTAAAGCTTGATTGATTGTGATTAATTTGATTACTGGAAGTTTGCATGTGCTTAGTTTGATTAGGCCTTGAAAACTATGCTAGATTGCATTGTAATTCCTATTGACATGAACACTCGATACAGGGTTGCAATTGTCGATTGAATTGATTTGCGATTCTCCTAGTTTGTCATTCATAGTGGAGACCTAGCTTGACGATTAAGCGATAACTCTTCGGTTCCAATTGATAGCTCTTACCATTGGTTCTCATAACCATGGATTAGCTTAACCTTCTCAAGTTGTTGCAATTGTCATGATTATATGTTGATCCCATTCCCTAGTGTTTCATTTGCTTGCTTCTTGTTTGTTTTGGTAGTTGTATAGTCTTTCCTCACCTTTGACTTTGACCTAGCTTAGGCATTGATTGAAAGCACTTGAACATAATCATTTCTAGTGGTTCGACCTTTGACTAACCTCTATACATATATGTAGGTTTGTTAAGTGATTATAAATTTTGTTTGGATCTAGGGAGGATCAGTCAATGCCCTAGTTCACCCTATGTCATTACTATCTTAAAGCTTTGCAAATTTTAAGAGAGGTATCATGCACAATAGTACAAATTATTTTGTCAGGTTGAATATTTAATTCTTCTTATGCAAGTGAATTCATTCTTTTGAAGATGGAAACTTAATCACCAACTAAAAGTACGGATAACAAAGTTCAGAGTATATATGAAAAGATACCAGTATATTTTTAGGGTACGTCATGCAAAGAATTATAGATTCAAAGATTCTTCAAGTAGTAGAATTGTAGAAATACATTATTCAACAGTCCTGACTTTTTGAACAATTTTATTGCCAATAGAAAAGACGTACCTCGCTCACAGCTTCAATTTGAAGCCTTACTTCCCCAGAATTCACGTTTTCAAGGGGTACAGGTACATCCCTAACTGAACCCACCTCTAATCCTTCCATGTTCACAGTTGCACTGCCAATTACCTCATCTCCAAATGTTTCTTCATATAAACATTTCAACTTGAGATATTCACCCCCTGTAATCTCATCAAATTCAAATGTCTGGTTCCAAACAGGATTTAATGTCTGTTTCACAGCCCTTGTTTTCTGGACAACCTGGTATAAGAAAGATAACGGCATCACAAGACGTGAACATTGGGAACTCTAAGTACCTTTTTTAATGGTAATGAACCAAAATATCATATGAGAACGTAAGAAAAATAAGAGACCTTCCCATACTGCAACCTAACATAAGGCTCTGATCGTTCCAATTTATCCTTTCCAGGAATATCTGTAGCTTCTTTTACAGTAACATACAGTTTTCTTCCAGTCTTTGAATTTGATAACCCAGATAATGTTGATTGAGCATTAAGGTGTAACCCAGCACTTTTAGAACCACCCGAAAACTGCCATTCTTTAAGAACAAGTCTGACCATCAACTGCAAATATCATCAATTATATAAGTTGCAACATCAACAATACCTCAATGCCTTTAATAAGGCTTCTGCAATGTACGACATAGGGGGGATTTGGACAAGCATAGCCCTGCTTCTATGATTACAAAGAGGTTGTTTCCTATTAGACCTTGAATCTAATATTCAACAATCATTTGCTGCATCACAATAAATAAAAAGTTCAAAAAGTTTGTTCATTATAATCTAAATCCCAAAGTTTTGTGAACCTTCAGCTCCATCACAAACGGATAGAATCATACACAATGACTCGCATTCTGTATGTGGTGAAATTAGAGTTAATTTGACTCGATTGGAAATTGATGATGATTCAATGGTTTTATTTCCACTGTATAGTATAAGCACCAATGACAAGCTGATTTATTAAAGTTGAATACTAGAATGCACAATCACACAATTCTCTTACCTCCCCTGACTCTACTGCCTCAAAAGGAACATTCATTACAACTTCTTTTCCACAACTCTCAGCACGCTTTACTATGACTCCTGAATCAGGTCCTATCGCCCAAAATATCGTGGAATCATCTTCACAATATCTAACCTGCAAGTCATTGAAATATTGTTTAGATCATTTGAAATGGTAGTAATGCTTGTAGTATTGACGTTACAAGACCCATGAGCAACAATTTAGATGAATCACTTAATACAATTCATCAATGGAATTTGAAATTAATAATTGAGAAATATGTAAGATAATGCCCTTAACAGTTTTTGTATTTACAGCTACATAGTATTTGGCAAAACAAAAAATCCTTGTATACTAATACCACATTTAATTAAATCATCAAAATCCAAAAAATGACAACTTTGATGAATCTTCATTGGGAATAGCATAAGCCCACACCGGAGGAGAGTCTGGTCACATATAAAACTTTTAGGGTTGCATCCTATAACATTATGGTAATGGGTAGAGTAGCTCTCTTGTCTTATATGTCAGGCAGGCTCACTCTAATTCTTCAATGTGGAACAATTAGTCCCAACTCACATGTGGGTTATTTGTTAGCACTTATGCAAGGACAATATGGTGAAGCTATGTCAATATATCACCAACTCCACATGTCCACACTATGAAGGAGCCATAAAGTATAAGGGTCAACAAGGATTACTTTTTAAGGGAGCAAATCGGTTTGAATGGATCAAATGTTGTGAAAAGAAAAAATCTAAGAACATTCTATAGTGGTTATCAAGCCCCAAGTTACCTTGGTAGAGCACCCTAATGCACAGAAGTATCCAGCCGTAACTTTGAGAAAAGTTAGTTGTTCACATGCAGTAACATCTTTGATGAATTATGAAGGGTCATTATTCAAACATTTATATGTGACTTGTAGATTGATTCTAAGGCAATGAAGTGGTGCTTTTAATTCCAATACGTTAGATAAAAAAACTAAAAGAGAAAAGCTATATTGGGTGAAGGCTCCATGTTGTTTTGTGGTAACGACTAAAAAAGCCTGCAACAGTACCTTAATTTCACAAGTCGCAAGGTGATCAAACTTCACACTACCAGGAGAACATTCATAAAGATGGAATTTAAGTACTCCTGCATTATCGTGTAAAACCATATTAAATGTGGAATCCCATTGTGGACTAGAGCCTGGCTTTGCATCTGTTCTCCTGGTAATTTCTTCAATCTCTACCTCCACAAATGTCTTCACATCCTTATTAAGACGCTCTTCTGAGGCATGATTTGAACCAACTTGTGTGCTTGTCGGGCTTCCTTTAACCACATTTCTAGAAAGTTGACTTGCACCAACTACTGTTACATAAAGTATGCCACCAACTGCCCTTTTCCCCAACTGTACAGCTGACAGAGTGAGACATCGACGACGAGGTTCAACCATAGTCTTCACTAAGGTGTCGGTCAAGAGTTTGACCTGCACGGAAAATATTATGAGCATGAAGGTACAATAATAACTGGAATTATAAGCTATTTGAAATAATAAGTCCAAAAGTATTCTATCATGGGAAATGACCTTAGCTTAACATTAGATTTAGTTCACAAAAGTTACAACACACTGCTACATGATACAGAAATATCCGTTAATGGTACAAATGTGACATTGGTATATACCATATGGTTTCCACTTCTGATGCAGTTATATACTTATATTGGATTTTCCATCTAAAACTTTAGATCACTCACAAATATATTAGTAACATGATAAAGGTATACAGTAAAACAATTGCAAAGGAGTTATATTTTTCCTTAAATTTTAGATTTTTAACAATGTTAAGCATAGCAAAGAAAAGCATGCATGACAATAGCAATTGGCTGCGTTCCTAGGTTTTTTTTTACTTATATGAACGAATTTAAATCAACTAAACACACCAGCCATGAAGAAACAACGGGCAGCTCCATTCCAGGGAGTTGACTTCCACCACTTCCCAAGGCAATTCCAAGTCTCACCTCTGGCACAGATATAAAGGAAAGTAAAATTGCTCTTCCATCTAGCACTGGCATCAATTGCACCTAGACAGCAAAAAAAAAAAAAAAAAAGTCAAAATTACCAAGCATTGACCAAAGCAATTACCTCAAAGTTAGAGTAACATCAACTGGACAGGCTTAAATAGATTTTCTAAGTTCAAACTCACATGATTCAAGCTAGTTTTACAGGGGAGGAAACAAGTTTTAAATCTTTCAATGTTTCAAATGTTGGAGTTTTAGTGGAAAGAAAGATTGACACGCAGATATAAATTGAATGGAAACTAGACAGAGGAAGAAGCACTTGATGTATTGTGTACCATTTACATATGGCTAGTCTTCTCTTAAAGGTTGAAAAATCATTCCAGCCTAACAGCCTCTTCTAGATTTGGTGATGACAAGCAATCCTTATTAATGAAGCTTTGTTAGGTTAACAGGACTTAGGCGGGTTCTTGATCTAAGAACATGTTCCAGAGTTATAACAGCGAAGGTCCTTTGATTGACGCATAAAGACATTAGCAGACTACTCAAGTGAAGCAACAATTGGAGTCCCAATTTGATGTTCCTATAGGAACCATAAAAGTTCCTATGAGACACAACACCAAGTTCCAGATTGGGAATGACGATTGAAGCTACTAAGTTGAAGCTTCTTGAATAGTAAATTAGTAATTATAAAGACTAAAGAGTACGAGTTTACTTTTAGCCTTATGTAAGTGTTTAGAAGTTGTTTAGTTTGTTGGAACAAAAGGTATTTTTTGGGTTTTTTTAAGCTATGCTCATGAGTTTGTTGAGTTTTTTAGGTTTTCCCATGCTTTTTCAAAATTACAAGTTGAGCCCTCCAATTTAAGTTGTTTAATCTACTATATCCTTTGACATTACCTCGATGTTAGTAATTGTAAAATATAGGAAGCAATAAAAAAACAGATGAGAAAAAAGAAGTACAACAACAGCTTGACATATCAAAGATTGCTTTAAGAAGAAAGAGTAGATGAGAAAATGTGAAAAAAATGCTTAATGTTAATCCCCTTATATAACTCTAACCCAGTTTGGGCATGAAATTTCTCTCCAACGTGGGGTAATTAACAATTAACACAACTACTAACATAGGGTTAACATCAGAGTTAACATAGGGAACACCTTAAGTTAGAGGGCACATCTTGTATTTTTGAAATAGAATGGGCACACCTTAGAAACTCAACAACCACGGGGGCATTTACAATTGGAGCAAATTTTCTTTATAAATTTAAATTTTATTTAACTAGATGAATGTTTTTAAATTATTATTGAATTATATTGGAAAAATGTTATAAAATGTGTTAATTATGGATGGCCATTATAGCTTGTAAATATCTCTTTTATGACTACCTTAAGTATGGTAGTAATAACATCCTTGTAACCCTCCATATGTCATTAGGTCTCATTAACCCTCTCATGAATGGACTCTTCATTATGAGATTTTAGCAATTCACGAGGCTAGTCGTGAATGTGTATGGTTTACGGTCGGTAGTTCAACATATAAAAGAAGTTTGTGGTTTATCATCTAGGAAAGAGGCACCGACAACTTTATATGAGGATAACGCAGCTTGTATTGCTCAACTTAAGGAAGGATACATCAAAGGCGACAGAACAAAGTACATCTTACCCAAATTTTCTTCACTCATGATCTTCAGAAGAATGGAGATATAAATGTAGTGCAGATTCGTTCAAGTGAGAATTTAGCAGACTTATTCACCAAGGCTCTTCCGAGAGCAACATTTAAAAAGTTAGTTTATCGTATTGGATTGCGTTGTCTCAAAGATCTTCAGTGATATAATAATGAGGGGGAGTAATTGCGCGCTGCACTCGTTTTCCCTTATCCATGGTTTTTTTTCCCACACGGTTTTCCTGAAAAGGTTTTTAATGAGGCAGCATATATCTATTTTAGATAATGTCTATCCAAGGAGGAGTGTTATAAAATATGTTAAATATGGATGGCCATTATAGCTTGTAAATATCTCTTTTATGACTACCTTAAGTATGGTAGTAATAATATCCTTGTAACCCTCCATATGTCATTAGGTCTCATTAACCCTCTCATGGATGAATAGACATAACACAATTACCTCTCTACATCTCTCTCTCTCTTATTCTCCCTTTCCCCTTATTTTATTATAAAAAATAAATAAATTACCTTATTCTTATTACAAATTATTTTCGTTTTCTCCAAGAATTGATTTAAACACTTCCTATGATCTCCCAAACATAATTACTTCTTGTTAGTGCTTGAATACACGTTCACTTATTCCCATCATCTCCAGTCCACTTGGTTAGTGCCTACTTTTGCTGGAACACTAATATCAGTTGTCAAGATAATGGTGAAAGTGATTATTCATAAGCGCTCTATAAAAAGGATAACACTGTTTCAGTTTTTAGACATCCTGACTTGCTTCCAAACATATCCTAGCAAGAAATATTCTTTTAAGTCGGTGAAAAAAGAAAGAGTAGTGATCCTTTGTTCCAACTGCTAACCACATAGAGCATTAATTATCGAGTTGTAATTAGGGGTGAAGAGTTTGAGTGAACCTTTCTTGTGAGTAGAGCTGTCAATTCGGGTAAACGGGTCGCGTTTGAGTCGGGTTAGTGTGAGTCGGGTCATCTCGGGTTGGGTCAACACGGGTTAATGTCATAACATATGCGGGTGAGGTTGGGTCATGCTTGAGTCAGGTCATGTCGGGTCATACATCTTATCGGGTTTGGGTCGGGTTTAGGTCGGGTTAGTAAAAGGTCGGGTTATATTCGGGTCGGGTGAAAAATAGGTCGGGTTAAATTCGGGTCTTTACGGGTTTAAACGACTTAGGGTCGTTCTCGGGTTTGAGTCGGGTTCGGTTCAAATCAATTATTTACGGGTTATAATCAGGTCGGGTCATTCTCGGGTTCAAGTCGGGTTCGGTTCAAGTCAATAATTTGCGGGTTATAATCAAGTCGGGTCATTTTCAAGTCGGGTCATTCTCGGATTCGAGTCGGGTTCGGTTCAAGTCAATAATTTGCGGAAATCATGTTTCGTCCTTGAAATTCGTCCCTAAAAATATGTTGTGAAACTAACCTCTTAAAATTCAAAGTGAAATATTGAAGAAATATAGTTAGGATTCAATTTCCGTTCCAATACCAACATGAGATAACGACCTATACATAATGATTCAATAACAAGTCGGGTTGAATTTGGGCCGAGTCAATAACAAGTCGAGTTGATTCGGGTCGGGTTTGTAACAAGTCGGGTTGAAATTCGAGTCGGATTTGTAGCAGGTCGGTTTAAATTCGGGTCAGGTTAGGAACAAGTCGGGTCGGGTTGAATTCGGGTCGGGTTAGGAATAGGTCGGGTTTTGACGGGTTAAAACGGGTTTGGGTCAATTTCGGTTCAGGTCAGGTTCGGTTCAGGTCAATAATTTACGGGTTACATTCGGGTCGGGTCAGCTCTAGGTCGGTTAATGTTCGGGTTTGGGTCTCAAATACTCGGGTCTAAGGTTGGTTTCAAGTCGAGTTAGGTCGGGTTCGGGTCACCATTTTTTTCGAGTTCAGACGGGTCGGTTAATAGGTCGGGTTAGGGTCGGTATTTCGGGTTGGGTCAGCTTTTGACAGCTCTACTTGTGAGACTTGTAGTTAAGTCTTAAATAGATAGTAGGCTTCAGAGTAGAAGCTAGAGAGAGTGAGCACTATGATTATAGGGAATCACGGTGGGGATCTTAAGTTCATAAAGGAACTTAACTTTGTCAACTTCCAATAGGTTGTAATTACTAATTGACAGTTAGGGTATGTTCTCTTCAGCTTATTTTCAGTTCATTAGTTCAGTTCAGCTCAGCTCCAATAACTTCAGTTTAGTTTACTTTAATTCTTATCTTAATTTCCTTCTCTCATAAAATATTCAGTTCAGTTCAGTTCAGCTCCGCTCCAATAAGTTTAGTTCAGCTCACCTCACCTCAGTCAATCAGAACAGACCCTTACTAGCTACTCTAATAGTAACCTCTACTGCAAGTTTTGCTAGAGAGGGCCTTAGTGGAGTTGGAATATATGCAACCTTAGGCCAGTGCAAATAGAGAGGCTAATTTCATTAGACACCTCATTACAAAAATACAAAGACTGCTACCTCCCAAAAAATTATAAAGTGAATAGTGGACACATTCAAATTTACTGGAAATAAGCATAAAGCATAAATTCGTGTAGCATATATTCAACTGGCAAGATTTACCAGCTTATCATGAACACAATGTCAAGCAGCTATATAACATGTAAAGTTGACAGATGGCAAGCCATCAAGCCAGCCAAATAAGGTTTTCATGCAGCCAGACATCCATGGACAACACTTATAATTCACCAACACAGAGAACATCATGACCACACATGAAGAAAATTGAAGGAACCATTCTATCACACAAGAAGAAAATTGAAGAAACCATTCTACATCTTCGAAGACAAGACCAAAATTTTTAAATATAAGGTGAATATGAAATAACTTCATTTTAAATAATTAAGACCAGATACAAAGTATAGTCGAACATACATCACCCTTGATATGGAGGTAGTTTATGGCAATGCGTGCAGTTCCATATAATGGTTTGGCTAGTTTAGCAAGCAGCATAATATTCATGTCTTTGGTGTCCCAGTCAAAACTTGTATGCATAATCCTCTGCCACAAATGAAAAGGTAAACTGGTAATTGATAGGGCGCCCATTGTAAGTAAATAAATAAATATATAAAAAATAGATCCCTCATATTGCAGCAATTACTATGATGGTGCAACTGTTATGATGGTAGGCAGGTAGCAAATTCCTAACTTGCATAACTGGCATCTTCTGTGCTTACCTCAACAACTATGACTGTATATGTAGTTGACAAGTTCAAGAATTTAAAACTCAATGTTATAATTAAAGTAATTCTATTCTCTTAGGAAGTTACACTTAAAATACCTTCTAGAATCTCTTTAACGCGCATATGACAAAAGGAAAAAGTTTCAGCCAAGACATTCTGAAATCGTGAAATGCAATATTATGGATATTTGTTACGTCTTTAGTAAAGGTTTGCAAATCGCAATGCAATGTGACAGCAACAATGAAAATTGATTGTGGCAAGAATTTGGAAACCACATGGTTTATTAATAAGTTATTTAATATTAATAGTTGTAACTGCTTGTAAGTTGTGAGCTCCCAAGGCATCTTACTCATAATAAGCACTGATAAACTAATTCGGAAATTGCATGAGAATTTTACTAGTTTACACAGCGGAACTAGAAAAGTATCCTTAGAGTCACTTCACTTGTATATACCAAAGAAGAAAAGTCCACTAAAAAAACATGAACTGAATCTTAGGAAGAATAAAAAAATGGATAGTCTATGGGTAGACAAAAGTAGAAAACCCCAGAAAGAACTGAAACTGTACCTGATCTCTAACAGTTGACCAGCGCATCCCCTGAAGACCTACTTTAGGAGGAGAAGAACCAAGTGAAAATTCTTCGAGTTCAAACCTTTCCTAGATGGAAGACTACCAGTAAATTAATCATACAACTATATTACACAATATAAAAAATAATACAGAAAAAAATTTTCTCCCAACTCACCACAAGCTTTGGTTTCTTATACTTCAAGCGTCTCTGCAGGCATAAAATAACAGTAAGATAACAAAATTTTACTGTGGTAAGAACAAGTTAGTACACATTGCTTAATATAAGTAACATTTAAATCAACTAACAGTATCAAGAGCTTTACAAACATCCTAAACTCACACTTGAAGGCTAAGTCCTACCATAGGCACTCAGTAAATTGCGCCTCCATGCAGCTGCTTCCAAACATTTAGGTTCTTATGGTGATTAATTTTTGCTAGCTTACCAAAACTTTTAGTATACACCCGGGTGCACATAGTGGTACATACACCCAAGGGTAGTTTTTCGCTTTTTGATAATTTTTTGCTCATTTTATGATTTTAAAACAAGCAAAAACATTATATGAGTAGAAAATACCGTTGGTTGCACCTTGCACCGGGGTGTATATAAAATATAAAGCCACAAAAGGGACTCCCCCCGCCCCTCTTCGAGTGGGATAGAGGGGTTGAGCCTTACCTCAAAGACACATTTGAACATAGTTTTGGTGTCTAGCACCATAAATGTGTTAAGACATATGACAGAACAAATAGTCATGCAAGTTAAATAATAATGATATATATCGCCAAATTCAGAAGGCAAACCTTACTCAAATTTTATGATGAGTTTCAACATAAAAAGAATGCTGGAAATAGAGCCTATTTCCTACGCTGATCTCCAAATTGTTACATTGAGTAAAAGAAAATCAGTGTTCCCATGCTAAGGAAAAGAATTTGAACTACGACAATATTGCTTTAAGTAATTAAGCTCTTCTTTTGTGAAATCATGTCTTCGGGAATTATATGATAACTTTACAACTAAAAATAATCCTCCAAGTGTGCTACAATCTACACTACATTATGGCATGGCATAATTTATCCTTTTATTCCAACAACAACAAAAATAATAAATAAAAAAAATAAAAAATAAAAAGGGGGGGGGGGATAGTAGAAAATTTAAAGCTATAAACCAAGACAGGTTTATCAATCAAGAAAGCAACAAAAGAGAAGAAAGAACAAAGGGACTAACCTCAACTGTGTAAGAAAACCTTGATGAAATCCTAGGGTGAATGTAGCTAGGCCAAACTTCTAACAATAACCTGTTCAGCCACTCACAGTGCTCCAGTGCTGTCATTGGCTGCGTAGTTTCTTACATGTCAGACTCATATTCTGTAAAGAAAGCGTAAAGCTGAAAATTGATATATAAAAGTACCGATGCATCTAGCATTGCTCGATTCCATTTCCTGTTCAAGTCTTCGGCAAGAATTTTGCGCTGATAGCTTCCATACTAATATCAGAGTGATGCCTCGTGTTAGACTCAGAAATTTATTCATATTGATGTATTTTGTACATTTATAGCTTTATTATGTGATCCCACATAATATAAGAAAAGTATTTGCATTCATGTCTATGTGTAAATTTACAAGGGTACCATACACATATAAAAACAAAAAAAACACATCCACACATTATTGCAAACATGCAAGTGTGTGAAGAATAGTTAGCATTGGTTCATCAATGACCAGGATTGTAAACCAAACTCGCATGTTCTCATTTCAAAAAGAATCCAGAAACTCTGACTTTATAGGAGTTATTGCTCAGATGACAAGCTGATGTAAAATACACATCTCCTAAGTGCAGGTGTTGATGCGTGCAACCAGTCTAAGGGTTCAATCCCTCAGGAGTTGAACATTCACTAATGCTGACAAGAACTTGTTCAAACGCAGATAGACAGAAACAAACAACTGTCTTTTTATTTTATTGAACCAAAAGTCAATTTTAGAACAATTAAATAATTGCACCCCTAAAAAATACAGTCCAAGTCTACCTTGTAATGACACAGAATTCTATTATCAAATTTTCAAAAAAACACCAGAGCAATCAATACCTCAATTCTTAGCAATCATAGCCTATCTTCCAATGTGGCACAGAAACATCATAAGGGTCACACTGCCCACTTTCAAGTAAACATTTTATTTCATATATAAAAATAAATAAGAATAAAGTTTAACATTGAAAAAACTCTAAAGCAGATGAAGCACCATTTCAGTCTTTGGATTCTTCATTCCTACCTCCAGGTCAACACATCATGATCGCTTCCCACTCATTTCTTGTTAAATCAGACTCAGGTTTATACGCTACAGTTATCTGTATCACTGAGTTCTTTACTACATCAATAAGGAGTTTCAGTTTTCTTACAGCTTCTTTTATATGTTTCCCTTTCACAAATTTCATGGTGCACCTGGGTTCACGGTGCTCATGGAGTCATGGTGCACTGGAACAAAACAGACAGCCTTTGTTGATTCAAACTACATTTTCTTTGGGTTTGAAGCAAATTTTCTTTAATTCTTTCATTACGATCTTTGGTCATTAGGAATGTGGATTAGACATGTTCCTTGGGTTTGAATTTCATATTATTGGGGATTGAACTATATGGTCTTTAACTTAATATTCATTGGGTGTGAACTATATGTTCTTATACTCTTGCTCTTTGGGTTTGACAGTTTGAATTGTGTGTTCTTTTATCCATGTTGTTTGTATTTTTCCCTTTATGATTTTATTAAGGGTGATGAGGCTCACTCATTTAAAGTTTATTAGACTAGCATTTTAGCCAACCCTAAATCATTTGGGCTAAGGTAATGTTGTTGTTGTTGTTGTGGACTATCATATTAAAACTGTGAACAGTTTGAATAATGCAATCGGGTGCATAAACTAATCATTGTTTCCTGTTTCCATTTCATATTGAACTGGTATTACTGTTTGAGTTTCAATGTTACATAGATACTAGCTATAAACAAATTAGGTGACAAAATTAGATGACAAGTTTGTTTTACTTTTGCAAGATACTAATCGGATTAGAATCTCCAATAACTAGCCCCAAATAATTCACAAAATACATTATGACCAGAACTCTTAACCAGATCACTTTATAATTTGAAAAACTCTAATCGGAAAACAACGCAAAGGACTGCTTACTAATAGGTTCAATGCTTCACACCACTTAAAGAAACAGGTACTTTGTTGTCAATTTCTGCAGGATGCCTAAATGTTAGGCAAATAGTCCCACTCTATTCAACAGCACAAAATGTTTCCTCAAAAGCATAGATGATACAATATGTAATTACCGAATCCTGAAAGTTGAAAATATTTTATATGAAGTATTACTCCTCTATGTTTGAATACTTGCAACAATTTGACTTTTGCATTATTCATACGTTAACTTTGACCATTTTTTTTTATTACAATATCAAATGTTATTGTCCAAAATATTAAACAAACCATTTTTTAAAAAATAATTATTACTACTACCACGACATAATTGCATATACCTATGGTCAAACTTATGCATCCTTCAAAAAATGGTCAAACTTATGCATTGGCAAGTGGACAAGTTAAATTATGGCCACAATTTAGAGACGGAGGGAGTATACATATGTCTATCATTCTATCAAACAAGTGATGGTCCAGCCTTATTCACCCAACTTTTTCCAAACCCTTTGGCCTCTCACTTCGTACTGGTCTTCTACACGTAGTTATACTAGCTAATCTAGAGAGAGCATATATACTCAACAACTGAAGGGGTAATGAAGCTAATTTCTTATGGGGAAAAATAATAATATGAATAAAACTAAATAAGCAATTTATGCCCATTTCACCACTTCAACAAATTCATCACTCACACAAAGATTGAACAAAGTAAAGTAGATGGATCTTGAAAGAATATTACTAACAAAAATTGAAAGCATATAACTAAAAAGTTATAATATACAATGAATCATATGACCCCAGCAAAAAAAATTAAGTAAATATATCCAAAACAAAAGCATTTCTCATCTAATTATTTGGAGAGGATCTACCCAAAACAAAGTATTATATTCTGTCTTTTCCATATAAATTATTACAAAAGTAGAGAGTTTAAATTAAGCCAAAGTTTAATAAAAAAAAAAAAATGGAACAATTACCTGCAAAGTAGCCCAAACAGCAATAGCAAGAGGAACCCAAGTAGAAATAGAGAAAACCCATTTCTCAAATGCCCAAATAACAGAAATTAAAGGCACAAAAACCAAGTAAACTGGTTTATCAATGGCGATTTTCTTCAAAAAATCCATGACTACCTCAATATTAAAGCTGAAACTCAACTTCTTTTTTCTACTCATTTTATATCAAATTTTTTAATAATTTCAATATTATATTACAAATCTTTTTGAAGTAAGCAAAATGGAACAGTTATTTTATAGAAAGAAGTGATCTTGAGATGAAGAATTTGTACCAAAAAAAAGGGGATTTTGAGCATTTCGACAAGAAATTGATAGTGGGAGTATCATTTTTTTTCCTTTATTTGAAGTTGTCTTTTCAAATTGATAATAATAAATTTTTGGGGGTCATAAATTTGAGGGGAAAGGAAGAGACAGCGAGGTAAGCCAATAGGCTGACCAACATATACATTGTAATAATAATAATAATAATACTAGTAAGTTTCTGGTAATAACAGAATTTTATTGAA